TGCCAGCAAGCTCCCCTGAGGGTCGCGGCAAGGAGGTTTCAGCAGGGGTAGGGGCCCGTGGAGACCAAGTGAAGCCACAGAGCCGGACAGGGAGGAGAGGCGTGGTTACACCCGAGGACCAAGGAGCAGACAGGGCCCACTCCGTAGGTCCCTGCCAACACGCAGAGGCAAGGAGGACCCGTCCTGGCCTTGAGGGGAGGCTCAGGAAGAAGGAATGGAGCAGGGGCCGTGAGAGCCCACCTACGCCCAGGACAGGGACACACCAGATCTGGGTTAGCTGGGTAAATCGCCTCAACAACCCCATCCGCCCTAAACAAGCACGTGACCTCCTCTGGAACTGGGGCCTTGGAGGTGCGTTAACTGGGGCACGCTGGGTGAAGGAGGGCCCTACACCCAGTGCCCATACACAGAGCAGGGACGCACGGGAACACGGGAACAGGGACTGTGTGACGCTGCAAGCCCCAGGGTGCCAGGATCACCAGCCTCCCGGGAAGCTGGGAGGAGGGTGGGGACAGACATGCCTCCTGGCTCCAGAAGAGCCGGCCCTCCTGACACCCTGGTTTCGGACTTCCAGCCTCCTAAACTGGGGTTGCGTTTCTGTTTTCTGCAGCCCCCAGCTTATGGGGGTTGTTACCAGGTCCCCAGGAGGCCCTCACAGCGTCCTGAAACAGCTGGCGAAACACCTGTGCTGGGGGAGGGCCACCAGGGCTGGGCAGGGCCAGGGGACTGGGTGGAATCCCCTGGGCGTGGGCACTGGGCCGGGAGCCAGGGCACGGCCCTCTATTGTCACCAACTCAGCCCATCACAGAGACCCTCTCAGACCTCCTGGCTGTGCCCCACGACCACTGTTGCAAGTCGGGGGTCCTCAGGGGCTTCGGGGGGGGGAGCCTAACCTGGCTGGGGCTTGGCTTCTGCTCCTGCGCCGCCCTCCCAGACGCCCTCTCCTCCAGCCGCGCCAGCAGGGCCCCAGGCCGACACGTGGAACGGGGAGTGTACGGGCTCTGTACCCTGAGCCACAGGGCACCGTCACTACTGAGTGGACTGTGCTGGACCCCCAGCCTGTGGGTGGCATGTGTCGCCAGCACGTCAGGGCCTGCACCCCAGCACAGGGCTCGGCGTGCACGGCTGCAGCACGAGGGACGAATGGCCAGGTGCAGGAGTCCAGAGTGCGGCCCCGAACCGCCCTCCCAGCCGAGAGCGTGGCCTGGTGATCAGGCTCTGATTGGGGTGGCTTGCAGCCTTTCCCGCCTGCTGTGGGGAGGTGCTGGGCCTCACCCGGGGTCCCTTGCCAAGTTTCCTGCCACCACAGCTTCCCACCCCGTCCCCAGCCCACCCTCCACACGCTCGAAGGCTCCTCAGATGCCGCCTCCCTTGGGAGCCCAGGACAGAGGGATGCAGTGCCTGCTGTAAACCTCTCGGTTCCTGAGGGACCCCCGGCTTCCGTGCCCACCCCCTGCCTCAGCTCCAGCCCCGGGGCCAGGCCCCCACCCCGCCTCGAGCTCCTTACCGTACATCTTGCCCTCATCCGACAGGATGATCTTGCGCCGGCCGCAGGGCGGGTAGATGGCCAGGGCCTCCTGGAAGCTCTGCTCGATGTCCGGGCTCCACACGCCCTCCGCATCGTTGTCGATGGGCTTGTCCAGTGCCTGGCTGCCCCCCGAGACACTGCTCCCCTCGGGGGAGTCAGGAGAGCTCCACTCGTTGGAGGTAATGGTGCCGGCCTGGCCCTCCAAGGCTCTGCTTGGAGGGGCACCCGTTGGACCTGTGGGGACAGAGACCGTGGCCCTGGTGAGAAGCGGAGAGCCGGAGCACCCTACAGTCAGAGCCCCAACCCAGCTGCTCAGGGACAGAGTGGGGCGGAAGTTCTGCACGGACCGGGAGGCCTGGGGTCTCGGAGAAGTTACTTCCTATGACCTCGGCTCTCCCCTGTCGGATGACCACGGCCACCTACACACACTCTGACCTGGCTTTAAAGACCCAGAAAGGGGGGAGGAATTAAGAGACAAGGACCAAGTGCCAGGGGATGTTTTTAAGGTTTCTGCCATAAGATGCATGTGCTCACAGGAGAGGAGAGAAAGGGAGACAGAGAGGGAAAGTGAGAGAGAAATCAGCCCCTGGGGGGATGGCCATGCCACAATTCCTTCTCCTCCATTGTCCTCCTGGGATTTGGGACACACGCACACACGTACCCAGCCTGAGTTTCAAGTCACTGGGCCTGGGACTCGAACCATGGTCGGCCACGTGTGCTGGGAATCCAGACCCGTACCACAACACCACTTGTCGGCCCCTGGCTTTTCTGACGGTAAGTCAACACTGAGCAGAAAGGGTGGAAACCGTAGAGCGCTGTGGGCGGGACCGCAGAGTGGGCAACCGTAAACCGCACGGCCCTAACTCCACACCTAACAAGAAAACACCGCATGAGCCTACGATCTCACTTCCTGATTACTATGCTGGAAAGAACTAGGGGGGGGCAACAGGTGGCGTGGCGTTAAGGTGTTAGATTCCCACATGGCCGACCACAGTTCGAGTCCCGGATGCAGCAGCTTGAAAGTCGTGCTGGGCGTGTGGGCCTGGGTGGCCCAAATCCCAGGAGAACGGAGAAGGAACTGAGGTGTGGCCATCCCCCTGGGGGGTGTGGATATCTCATGTTCCTTATCTCTCTTTCTCTCTGTCTCTCCAGCGAGCACATACACTCTATGGCAAAACCCTAAAATATTAAATTAAAAAACTGTAAGAGAAAACAACCACTAGGAGCTGTCTGTGCACCCGCACTCAGAGCAGCGTTACGCACGTAACTAAAGGTACAGGCGACAGGTGGCAAAGGGTGAACGGCGAGCAAGACGGGAGGCACGCGATGGAGTATCACTCAGCCTTCATGAGGAAGGAGGCCCGCCACAGGCCAGATGCAAGCACAGTGAGGTAGTGGAATTCGGGGGGACACAGAGCGGGCGGCACCAGGGGCTGGGGGAGGGAGGGACAGAGTGGAGACACAGTCTCGGTTTTGCAGGATGGAAGGCTCCCCCAATCTGGGGCGCATGTGCGTACACCCCAACACGAATAAACCGGCCACGGGCTGGCGGGTGAGGAGCTGGATGTCACAGGCCCATCGTGCGTGTCGAGCCCAGGACAGTGTTCAAGAAGCCAGGTCCCGGGACAAGCAGACGGCATAGCAGCTTCGTCACTGACTCTCACATGGTCAACCACAGTTCCAATTCCGGACTCGAAGGCTTGAAACACACCGGGTGGGTGTGCGTGCGTGCCCAAGATCCCAGGAGGAGAATGGGGAAGGGATTACGGCGTGACCACCCCCCCTGGGGGGTGATTTCTTGCTTTCTGTCTCTGGCAAACACACACGCCCTATACCAAAAATCTCTAAGAGAAAGAAAAAAGCCATACCCCCCACGGCTGACTGTGCAGCTCAAATCTCTTCCTGAGTGTGTGTGCGTCTGTGCCCACAATTCCAACGGGGTGAAGAAACAGAGGAGAAGGGGTGTGGCGTGACCACGCCCCACCGGGGGTTCTCCCCCTCCCTGTCTCTGTCTTGCTCTGGCCCGCGATGCACCCTCTGGCCTAAACAACAAAAACCAAGACCACCCTGTGGTACGATGGATGAACGCTGAGTGGAGACACCAGATCCCGCACGGCCTACTGCGGCTGGAATTCTGCCCTGACGGTACCCAGGCCCCGACAGGACAGAACTGGAGGAGGGGTTACAGCGTGACCAGTTCTCATCGGGGTGCTCACACCCTCCCTCTCACGTCTACACACACATGACCACGAGTAGAGGGAAGAAACAATGTCAGTTATTACAGCCCAGAGAAGGGGCAGCAGGCGGCATGGTGGTTAGGGCGCTGGATTCCCACACGGCTGACCACAGCTGGAGTCCAGGACCTGGCAACCTGAGAACCACACAGGTGCATGAGCATGCTCCAAATCCAAGCAGAGACTGGAGACTTGAGAATCACACAGGTGCATGAGCATGCCCCAAATCCAAGAGGAGGCTGGAGACCTGAGAATCACACAGGTGCATGAGCATGCCCCAAATCCAAGAGGAGACTGGAGAAGGGACTGCGGTGTTGCCATCCGCCCTGGGGGGTGATTTCTCACTTTGTCCCTTTCTGTCTCTCTCGCCCTACAGCAACAAGCAGACAAAAAAACCACTCTGTTTAGGAGCCAAAGTTGTCATTTTTCTAGTAATAAACCTAACATAATGAGACCTTTACAGAGAAAAATGTAACTGTTTTGAAAGACATAAAATACCTACATAAATGGAGAGAATTGTGTTTGCAGATGGAAAATAACATCAAAACAATGTTCAGTCTCTCCAAATCATAAATCCAATGGACTTATCAAATTTCCACACGTCTTTCCACACCCTAACAAGTTGCTTCCCAAACACGTGGAAGAGCCCAGGCGACTCTCCAGTTGCCTGACTCACCAGCCCACTCCTCCTATTCCCCCTCGGCTTCACTTTTTGTCAGCCTCACCCAGACCTTCCCCAGGGTCGAACCTGACCTCTCCTCACTAAGCATCCTGGCACCCTAGGGACACCCACACATGACTCCCTCTTCCACTATGTATTGAAAGGTGTATTTATGATTATTTTGGAGGTTTTTGCTATAGAGTGCATGCGCTTGCCAGAAAGTCAGAGAGACAGAGAGACAGAAGGCGAGAACTCACCCCCCAAGGGGGATGGCCATGCCACAATCCCTTTTCCTCCACTCTCCTCTTGGGGGATCTTGGGCACGCACGCACACACGCCCAAATTTATTATTATTATTTAATTTGTTAATTTTTAAGTTAACGTGCACTCACCACAGAAACACAGTGAGAGTGAAGGAAAGTGAGAAACAAGCCTCCAGGTCCGGGACTTGAACTGCGGTCAGCCATGGGGAAGTCCAGCGCCCCAACCACCATGCCACCTGCCGGCCTCCCAAATCCGTGCAGCTCCGACAGCAACTGCTGACTAGGCATCTCTAGTGAGCAGGCTCCTCCAAAGCTCCTGGACTTGGAATGTCTGAAGCGAGGCTTGCCGTGTGCCTCTGAACCCCACTCTTCCTCCTGGGCACACTCAGGAAGGGGGCCACCCTCTGCCAGAGGCCAGAAGCCAGGAGTGGACTCCGAGAGTCCCATCACCTCCCCCAAATCCGCTCCATGACCACAGGCTGCTGTCCTGTCTCCCGGGCCTGCTCTCCAAGCTTCCACCCGTACACACGCATGGCTGAGCAGCCCCATTCAGGGGCCATAACTCACTGCAGCCTGAGCGGCTTTCCCCAGATACAATCTGATCGCATGACTGATTCCTCTACCTACGAGAAAACGAGGGAGCTGGCAGGTGGCATGGTGGTTACGTTCACTGGGCTCTGAAACACAGCCAACTGCGATTCGAGTCCCAGCCCTGGTGGCTTGCTTTCTCACTTTCCATCTCTCACTGTCTCTCTGTGGTCAAATTAAAAAACAATAAGAAATAAAATTAAATAAATATTTCTTTTCTTTCTTTCCTTTTTTTTTTTGCAGAGGTTTTTGCTATAGGGCGCATGCGTTTGCCAGAAAGACAGAGAGAGACAGAAAGCGAGAAATCACCCCCCCGGGGGGATGGCCACACCGCAATCCTTTCTCCTCCACTCTCCTCTCGGGATCTTGAGCACGCATGCACACGTGCCCGGCGTGAGTTTAAGCCACCAGGTCCGGGACACGAACCGCGGTAGATTACATGGGAATCCAGCAACATAGCCATTACACCAACTGCTGTTCCCAATAAATATTTCTTTTAAAAAGAGAGAAAGGGAGTCAGCAAGTGGCATAGTGGTTAGTCACTGGACTCCCACGTGGCCAACTGTGGTTCGAGTCCCAGACCTGATGGCTTGAGACTCTGGGTACGTGTGCATGTGTGCCCAACTACCAAGAGAATGGAGGAGAAGAGAATGCAGCGTGGTCATCCCCCTGGGGGGTGATTTCTCACTTTCTATCTCTGTCTCTCCAGTGAGCACATTCGCCCTGTAGCAAAAATCTCTCCCAAAAAATAAATAAAGAGAGTGAGAGAGTGTGAGAGCGAGAGTGTGAACGCGTTGCACACCCATGAGATTTCACAGGGCCACTCCTGGCTAATCCCTGCTGTGGCCGTGCCTCCCACCCTCAGCACCTACATACACTCCCATTCTCCCAGCCTCCAAGCCCCAACCTCGGTCACCCAAGTCATCCCCAATACGCTCAGCCCTCCCTCCACTCCTGAAGTCCCGTCTGTCACCTCCCCTCCCTGTACCACTCGCCTGACTCCCAAGTACCCCTGCCCCAGGACTGTGACCCCAGCCTCCAGTCTGGTTAGGTGCCCTCTGGAGAGCCCCAACAGATGCCCGTCTGTCCACAGCCCAACTCCCACTTCCCAGGCTGCTGTTCCCCAGACACCGGGAAGACAGCCAGCCACCTTTCTCTGCTCAATGCTGGGCGCACGGTCCAACGGCAGGAGCAGATGGAACACCGGGGCACTGCGTGAGCGTGTTCAGTGGAGAGAGCTGCTCTGTGTTTAAAGAGAATAGGAGGGGCCAGCAGGTGGTGTGGCGGTTAAGGCGCTGGTCTCCCACATGGCCGACCACGGTTCAATCCCCAAAGCTGCCAGCTTGCTTTCTTACTCTCTCTCTCTCTCTCTTTCTCTCTCTCTGGTGAGCACATGTACCCTATAGCAAATTCAAAATAATAATAATAGTAATCCAATTAAATAAATAATTCTAAGGGGAACCAGGAAAATCTCGATGTCTGTATTTT